AGAATATTTTAATTATTTTGCACTTTCGATGTCACTTCCATTTTTTTTTTCTCCCTTTCTCATCTAGTTGTTGTATGTCCTGTGGTAGTGTATGTCGGGTTCGTGTCCATCTGGAATTTTATTTTTATTGCGCCCATGCTCACAACGCAGAGAGTTTTACTGTAAATACTTGCCTTTGAGACAAGACCTTGCATATAACAAGTGCCGGGGGGGGGGGGGGGGGGGGCTTGCATATAATACGGGGGGGCTGCATATAATACAGGGCGGGGTGTGTTATTTTCACTCCAAAATCAGCCCTTCTTTTGTTGATCGAGTGTAGATCTATAATAAAGGCTGAATTTCTGACGTGCTGGGAGGGACTCAACGTGCCTGAAATCAAGCACTAGTCGAACATCAAATAATGTAGTGTCTTACGTTTTAGAACTGTTGGCAATTGCATTGAGATGGCGCATTCATATGAACTTATATAGTTGCAAGTGCCGTAAATCTCATAACAAACCAAATCATTGAGATTGATGTAATCTGTGAGACTTGAGGGGTAGGTTATCCAAGCAAGATGCCATGATATTTAGTGATATCCAGATTTTTCATTTGACAACAGGTCAATGTTAGGCCCAATCCTGACTGTCTCTTGCTTATATAATACAGAGGTTTTCTTTTGGACCTCATATTTTGGGGGGAAATCGCTTGTATCATAGGCAAGTATAATATTATAGTAGCATAGCAAAAGGACGGTGAGCTGGAAAAGCTATGGGAACAATTCAACTGTGTATGATTTTAAGTGGGGGTTTTTTTTTGGTTCATTCCTTTTCAGTCTGACTTTTTTAAATTTTCACGTTTGAATGTTCCATGTTCTCTCTGGATTTGGGGGTTTTGTTGTTGTTTATTTATTGATTGATTTATTGATTTTTTGTGTTTGCTTTCATTTAAGAGTGAGGATTTCAAATATACATGTAGTCAGAGTACAGTAATTAGAGGGGTGAAAGAAGGAATGTCTGTGTGGAGAGTTATGCCTTACTGTGGTTTTGTTTGACTATTTCAGCTGTATATTTGCAATTTCATTAATAAACACAGTGAACCTTGCATCCGCCAAGATTTAATTCTGCAAAATTTCAGACTCCATACAGGGTGATAGATTATTATGGAGTTTTTTTTAAAGATTATTTGCCATCAGCAATACTCCTTGTATTGAATGAACCCTTGTACGATTGTTAGTTGTTGTCAGACATTCTGGTGTGGTCTGTTACTTCTCTTTCCTAACAAACATCTATCGTCCTTATCACTCTTCCTTCTTTTTGGGGTTAGTGACTTTCTTGTAACACCTCTAATCTTTGACACTTATAAGACCTTATTCTGTTGCTAGTGCTGTAAAATGCTCACTAAAACAAACAAAACGAAACGCTCTTGCCAGCGACAGACTGAGAATGGAATGGGGAAGGGAAGTGAGCGATCGTGCGTGGAGGTAGGAAAGTGATGCCCAGCGCGCGAGACGCTCCCATCTGTGAGGCACTGTACTGTGTTGGAGACTACACTGTGTAGGCCATACATGACCTACTAAAGCCTGGTGTGTCAATGTAGGCTACTTGGCGGGTGTGCGGACTTAATGAAGAACTAATGCATTGACCGTTAGCATGGTTTTTCCCCCTGTTTATGTTCGTGGGCTTCGCCAGGTGTCCGCAAAGCAATTCAATAAAGCAGAGTGGGTCGAAAAAAGTCGATATATTTTTGTTATAACAGAAATTGTTTTGTGACGATATTGGAGGAAAAATTTCGTAATTGCAAAATGTGTCAATATCATATGTCGATAACAATCGGATGTCGATATAACTGTCCCTGTAGAATTATGCGATTGTGCGGCGCGTTTTTTCGCGTAATTCTGCAACATTTGCATAATTTTGGATTCCCCGCGTTTTTTCCCCTTTTTTTCCTTTTTTTTCACAAAACAATTAATTAACGCCTCTCCATGTGACTAAAGGGAAATAATCACCATAATATGTCTCATTTAAGTGAAAAGTCGGTTATTTCCTTTGTTAGAAGACCTTGGTTATGGGTTCCTTGAGCATGTTCAATTTTTCAATCCATCAAAAGTTGTTGTTCTCAAGTCTGCTGATGATTCATGTTTGACAGGTCTCCTTGGTTTTAGTGATGTGCCAGCATCAGAGGTCCAGATGTCCTTTTTTTTCCTTTTACATTTTTCTTTCCTCTATAGATCTAGATCTAGATCTACAGCTGAAAGTTACAGAGCTTATATTTTTTGGTTGTTTTTTTCTGACTGATTTGTATTGTTTTCTTTCCAAATACACAACAAATTACTGATACTGATATGTTCAGTTCAAATTTTTCTGTACATAAAACATAAAAATCAGGAAAATCTGTGTAGAAAAAGTGCAAAACATGTCGTGAATGGTGTTACGGTAACGGTTTTTTTGCATAATCTGGCCATCTAAATTTGCATAATTCTACGGGGACAGATATAAGTGGATTATACTGTATCAAGTAATACCTCTAATCTTCACTTACATGACCTAATTGTGTTGCAAGTGCCATAAAACTATTACTAAAATAGTATAAAACTAAAACTAAGCTAAAAATATAAATCAGATCAGAGAAACTTGTTGGATGTGAGGTTTACTGCTGAAAGACTTCAGCAATAAGTGTTGGTTGTGATGATATCATCACCGATCTCATCGGCAAGCTGTTCAAATGATCTTAGTTCAGTCAGCAAAATAATTTCAGGAGAGAACAAAAACTGTTTCCTTCTTTTAACAATTGGCAACGATAGCATTCCAAACTTCTATCTGCCCAGTTGTCTACCTAGCATTGAGCAATTTCACGTTAACATTTTAGAGTTTCATGACATGTCAAGCTTTTTTTGATGCATTTCTTTGAATATCTTGATAACAACTCTGAATAATCTTATAATTTTGATTTTGATAGAGCAGATACATGTGGAACATTTGGTTTCTGACCTCATGTCTTAGTAACTCGAAACGGGCAAAAATGTTGGATAGAACTTTGTAATTCTATGGTTGCAAATTGCTGGTACCTACCTCTCTGGTAGGCCTACCTACTTTATACATCTTTTCTCACTTTTTTCAACTTTTAGATTTAGAAAAAATATTTCTTAAGCACATGCAACCCATACCATACCACAGATTGAGAAGCAACTGTTAAAAAAAATTCAAAATTTGGGGCTTAGTACTAGTACATCTGGACAGGTGGTCGGTGAAATGATTCTGTGGTCGACTTGGCTGTGGAATGTGTGTTGTGTAAAATGCAACATTGAATATTCAGAGTACCATCAAAATTGTCCAAGATAGTCAGTGGTGTTGGTAGTCTAGTGGTTAGGCTACCAGACCTGTAATCGTAATATTGCGGGTTCGGAGGTTTGAGCCTCGGCTAGTTTCGATGTTGTGTCCTTTGGAAAGGCACTTTACATGAATTTCTCATTTGGCTCAGCCCTTTCAGAGAAGAACTTTAAACTGGGAGGTCCTGCCTGCTAGAGATACAATAAGATTGGATAAAGCTGACAACAATACACAAATCAGATGCATCTTTCAAGTATTTGCAGGAATTTATCGCAGACCTTTAGAGTTACATACATGTAAGTTTATTTATTATGCAAATTAAAAATCAGCAGCAGTACTGTTACTCTAAATAACCTAGTAGTGTTGGTATGGGCACTAAACCTATACCTTTCACCACTCATAGTCGCTCGCAGAGAATGTGGTTGTCTTAGACCAGCTGGATATCTTGGCCAGTGTCATTATACAGAAAAAACACCCCAGGAAAGAGGTCGTTTGTACAGATGATGTGTCTTGTACAGGTGTTCGTACAGGTGGTTGTCTTGGATGGGTAGTTGTTTGTGCAGATGATTGTCTTGGACAGGTGGCTGTTACTGTTAGAGCAGGTCATTGTGTTGGACAGGTTTCCATTTGTACAGGTGATTGTTTGTACAGGTGATTGTCATGGACAGGTAGCCGATAGAGCAAATTATTGTCTTGGGCAGGTGCTTCTTTGTTTGTGTGATTGTGCTGGACAGGCTGCCCTTAGAGCAGGTGATTGTCATGGACAGGTAGCAGTCAGGGCAGGTGATTGTCTTGGACAGGTGGTTGTTTTTACAGGTGATTTCTCATGGTCAGGTGGTTGTTTGAGCATGTTGGATTGTATCTGTGGCAATATGAACTGGGGAGAGTTAGCAACAGCTCTCTGGTTTATTTACATAGAATTTCCAAAGGGGTTGAATAAACTGTGCTTTTTTACTAAGCATGGCTGCTCTCATGTTTCTTTTGGTTTGGATCAGAGCCTGAGGTGGGATGTAACAATTTTTTCTTTCAAATAAATTCTGATGTTTTAGTTTTACACACCCATCAACAAAATTTTAATAATTTAGTAGGCAGGCTTCGACTCTAGGACCAACCCGAGTTGAGAGGGATACAACATTCCAGCAGAAAGACCGAGATACTCAATTAAAATTTTCCCAACACAGGAGTTGAACTCGAGTCCTCAGCCAGCGACGGGGAGGCGCCTTAACATTGTGCCACAGATGGAGATTAATTGGTCTATTGAAGCCGAATTTTCTGAAGGGGTTGAACAAACTTTTCTTTTCTGAGCATGACTGATCTCTTGTCTCATTTGGTTTGCATCAGAGCCTTAAGTTGGAATTTTATATATATAATGGGGGGGGGGGGGGGGGGGGTGTTGCTCTTTTTTCAAATAAATTCTGATCTTTTACACCCTCATCGACACAATCCAGATTCTTTAGAAGGCAGGCTTTGGCTTTGGCTTTGACCCTGCCTGTCAGGGCCAGCCCCGGTTGTTACAAACGCATAAAAGGAGGAGAGGTCAGCACGATATATGTGTGATAGGAAAGAAGGAGCAGAGCATCCACCAACCACCCACACTGCAATGTGTGAGGAGCTAAAAACTAATTTTTAAAAATATTTTAAAATCCAATAAACAATTCATAACATTTCAATGCAACAACAAACAAACCACAATTGTTTATTTCAGTAAAATTTTATTATTTTTTTAACCTGTAGAGTGAATTCAAAAATCCCATTCACCATTTTTCTCTGCTGCGTGTGTTCCATAATCCACAACACAAATACAACACTGTACAGCTGCGCCAATACGCAGCACAGAAGGAAAAAAAAAAATGAAACCAGTAAAGAAAAGTATCACATGAAATTGCAATTCATCTCCATACATCGTAATTTATATGTACCTTCAAGCTTATAGCCCAATTACTTTTGCTTCCAAACCGTCAATGTCTTGCAACAAGTGCAAGGTTTCGCAACAGAACATGGGAGAAAGATGAAACATCGCACATCATGAAATAGATGACAAACGATATGAATGAATAGTTTTATGTGAGAATAAAGAATGATGCCTGGCAATGAAATATTGTATATGAGAATGCTTCATGATGAGAACTGTAAAACCGTTTGTCCATACAAGTCTGTCACGTTGATGAAACTGGGTCTTCCATCAAAAAGTAAAAGTGTCTATGTACATTACATGCTAACATTATCACATACTGAAGTACAAGTAATAGTACTGGAGGTAAAGAAACAAACAAAAGGAAATTTTTTCTTCTCTCAATCCAGGACTGATCCTCCCTGCACCACTCAGAATAATAAATATTTTTGACTTTTACGCTGATTGCCCCCACAAGGGTGGCTAAACGAGAGATAACGGTAAAGAAAAGTTCATGTCACATCAAGAAAAGGGTACATAAACTGACACAATAAAACAAAAAAAGGAAGAAGATCCATACACATGAGCTAGTGAGAAAAGGAAACGAGGAAATTCGTAACATTTGTACGGGTGTCCATCTAAATTCTCCGGGTCTCAACCAGACAGAATTTTACAGCACTCGCAACTCTGCATAAGGAAATATGAGCGCTTCTAGACTGAATGAATCCAACTCTGTTCCATAAGCGTCATGTTGTTGACAATGAGACACAAAAATACTGACTGAAGACGCAAGCATGTGTCGTGAAGCCGAAGAGGAGGCACACCTGCAATGTCAGTGGCAAAGTCACCCAACAGCCCAGGAAAGCTAAAACCTACAGAAATGGTAATGGTATAGGTTTAACGCCCCCTATGAACACTATTAGGTTATTCAAGAGGTGGGACCTCTGAGCTTTACATCCGACTCTGAAAGGACCAAGCCAAATGGGAAATTCGTGTAAAATGCCTTTCCTCAAGGACTCGACATCGGACCCAGCTGAGGCTCGAACCCCTGAACCTGCAATCTCAGGAAAACAGGTCACCGTCAAGTAGCCAAACCACTAGGCCACCAAAGCCACAAAAAAAACTGAAGATGAAAGAAAAAAAGAAAAGTTCTATCCAAACTTGAAACAGACCTCGTTTTTTTCCCACTGCTTCAACTTCAATGCATTACTTTTATTCGTTTAAAATTCTATTTCTTTTAGTTTTCTAAGCAAACATTGCAGTAAGTCACACACCTCACGCTACATTCAAACCACAGTGCAATCAGGAAACTACCATTACAAAGCAGGGAAAACACACTTTTTTCAAACACATCTGGTACTACAGTCACATTTCTTCAAACACATCTTATTCTGTCACATTCCTTCCAATACACCTTGTGCAGTCTTCTACACGCTACCATAACACTGCACGCAGACATTTTTTTTTTTCATTCCAATCGCAGACTGAATGCACTTATTCGCCATAAATATCATCTATAAGAAAACAAGTAGACTCCCACAGGACAAATTATTGTGGGAAGAAGATAAGACTTCAGGGAAAACAGGTGGAATGCCAGGGAATGAAGGGGTAGAGGGGGAGGGCCCCTACGAGATAGCCTATCCCTCTCCAAGTTTTGTGAGGATTAATGGAGTCATGGAACTAACATTGGTTTGTTGGGGGGGGGGGGTTAAATAACCATTTGTGAAGTTGAATCAGGGTGAACAAATCAATGCCATTATTATAAAGGCAAAAAAAAAACCAACTGTGAGTATGAGCGTGCCTGCTGGCTTAGCATTATGGCACCATCAACAACTTTCATAACCACATCATTCGTGTGCCAGTGAGCAAAATCTACACGATCATTACATCGAGTGAGAGAAAAAAAAAAGTTTAACGCATAAAAACAAACCACCATTTCTTACCTCAGTGCAAAAGACTTAAAAACATTTCATCACTTCAGGCAGACCGAAGCCATCAAATATAAAGGGGAAAAAATGTTGCCCAATCCAACAAGAGATTTTTAAAAATGTAAAAATATTAAAAGCCTCTTCATCTACATTACCTAATTTATACTCCACAGCTCTACCGTGTCGTCCGTCTTTTTTTTAAGGGAGGGAGATGTCTTTGTGGTCTCCTCATCAACATGAGGCAGCATAACTATATTGTTCTTTAAAAAATAGAAAAGTTACAAAATAGCGTGCATATACATGTGACAGACTGAATGAACTGGTGTAATAGAAAGAGACAAAAATAGTTCCTGTAAGATAAAACAATACACGCAACTCAATCCCTGACAGCATAAAAGAAAGAAAAAACCCAAACAATCCCCAAAAATTACTGCCCTAAAGAAGAAAAAAACCCAACTGAACCAGCTGAAAAGACCAACCGACTAAAAGGCATTATCTGTGCCATCTTTTTCTAAAAACTTGGTACCTTGCACAGCTGGTATTATCAGAACACATCTCTTGACAAAAGACATCATCAAATCAAACAAACGAGAAGAATTACAATTTAAAAAAACAAAAAAACTTTGTGACATCACACAGGCACCCAAAATGAAGAGACTTAACGGACGTTTTCAGTGAACTCAAAAGCTCAGTAAAGCCCAAGAAACACATCCAAATACAAACAGAAAACAATCTCAACCCTGAAGAACTGACTATGGGTATAAATTAAACAACAAAGACATTGACCACGTTTTGTTTTGAAACCAAAGTCTCTGCTACATGAAATAATATCACTATGACTGAAAACTCTTAATTATAACTCTACATCAACAAAAGAACGAGAGAAAGGGAAAGGGAGGGACAGACAAACAGACTGACAAGACAGGCAGGCAGACAGACAGAGAGAGAGGGGGAGAGATACTGTAGGAAATAATAACAATAACTGTATTTATATAGCACACATCCATGCTCTATACCCTGTTCAGTTATTATTACTCCAGCAGACTCTAGGACACTCGGAAACATTCTCAGCTTCCCGGGGAGCCTACTGTGCAAGCAGCCGATTAAGAATTTAAGCACTTACATACTGACAGGCGAATACCCATTCCCACCTGGGTAAAGTAAGGAAAATTTGTGTAAAGTGCCTTTCCAAAGAACACAAAAACCAGCCCCTAACAGGATCCGAACACATGACCTTTTGGTTGCGAGCCCAAGAGCCTAACTGCAAGATCACCAACGCCCTGTGTTCAAAGAGGGGGAAGACGCCGTTATAAGGACATAAAACGAGAAAAGAGACTGTGTCAAAGGATGGGGGGGGGGGTTAGACAGAAGAGAGATAGTAAAACACACGAAGGAATGTGTGGGTTCCAAAGGGAAAAGGTCTGAGAGATAAAGAGAAAATAAAATACGGAAAAAAAGAGTCATCTTGACCATAACAATATATCAAAACAGGTAATGATATATATCCATATATTCGGAACACACAACAGAAGAAGAGGGGTGAAATCTGGGCCAGGACTTCTCCGTCGCATCGCAACGAGCCACGGTGGTAGGCGAATCAGGCTTAGCCCTTGAGCAGAGCGCTGACCACAGCCCGTGCGTTCAGATTGCGGAGGTCACTGTACGTCTGGCCCGTGCCCACAAACACGATGGGCTGACCCGTTGTGTACGTCATGGAGATGGCAGCTCCAACCTGAAGATAGATAACAGATATAGGCCTATATGGAAACTATCAAAAACCTGTGAGGCTTGTTTCCCCAAAAAATAAAACAAAGTTGATTCAGGAAAACAGCTTCTAAAATTGTGGCATACCCAGGCAGCTTCTGCCTGAGGTAAGATAACACAAGGCAACAAATTATAAATCTGAGGGGCTCGTTGGGGGGGGGTCAAGCTTTTCTTAATGCAATTTTTTCAACATCTTAATCATAGCTGCCACTCAGAATATTTCAAAAAAGAAGGAAATTCACGCCAAGGTGTACGTCCGTACTCCGAAGGACGGAGTAAAACCAGAGAGATCCAGAGTCAATATCTTGTAACATCTATTTTTTAGAAAGGAAGTGTCATATTTGTTGACCATACTACTGAATTAAAATGTATTTGAAAAAAAAAACAAGACACTAACAAGCATTTGACTCAGTTTGGTGACTAAAAATCCAGTGTTTGTTGCCAGCTAGCGTCTGATCTTTCACTTTCGACTTGTGCAACGATGTAGAGCAGTATTGGATTAAGGAGGCAACACCTTTGCCACTGTACGAGATTTCTAATATATCGCATCAAACGTAAAATACAGCACTCGGCTTGTTCAATTTTCTAATGAACTGTTAAAGTTGCACACCGTCTGCTTCTTTCTCAATCCAGCTTCATTAATTTTTGCATTCTGCATCGATTTCTCTTGAATTTCTGCCGTTTTCAATGACATCTCGGCGCGCCATCTTTCCAAAGCTCAATCGACAGTCGACACGATAGCTCCACAAATAACAATGAGAAACTTTAGCTCAAGGCACAGAATGGAAGCAAGAAGCTGCAGGCGGACATGGACACGTTGCATTTTCGTCTCACTCCGAGTTCCGTGTTTTCCGCAGGTTAAAAAAGTATTGCAATTTGCTACCAAGAGTGGTCCAGCAGAGGAAGGAGGAAAGTAGCAGGAAAAGCTAGATGAAGCGGAGGTAGCGGAGTTTCCGCTCTTTAGCGGAAAAGTGGCAGCTATGTTTGATAACAACTCTGAATATTCATAAAATTTTGATCGAACAGATAGAACATTTGGTTTTTCTCCTCACAGTCTATGTAACTCAAAAAATGTCATATAGATTTATGTAATTCTGAGGTAGCAGACAACCAAAGTGCACAAAGGTGTTGGTCCATCTGAGCCTTGCGTCCACCCAACCATTGATTCACAATCACTGACCTTGTCGTCGATGGTGTCGAACTTTGTGAGAATGATTCCGTCAATGAGACGAGGCTCGGTAGACTGGGAGTAGTCGGCGAGAGCCTGGTTGAACTTGCACAGTTGGTCAACGGCCTCGTTGCCCACCAGGGCCTCGCCCACAAACAGCACCAGGTCCGGTTGGTTCACTTTGACCAGCTGCAAACAACAAGTTTAGTTTTAGTGCGAGAAGTTTAACGGCACTTACAACACAATGAAGGTCTTTTAAGTACCGAAAATTAGAGATGTTACAAAAGAGTAACAAGCACAAAAATGTAGAAGAGATAAGGATTATAGATGAGGAGTTCACGGGAAAAATGGGAATAGTCACAAGCTGAAAATCGTGAGGGCATCAATTCTGAACGTTTGTTGACTCATAACTGTATTTCTGTACATGTACGTACCAGAAACTAAATTTTCAAACTAGCTTTATGCCAAATTTATCTGTTCCATTTGAAAGGCCTATATCCACTGAGCATTTCGGTACCATTCTTTAACCTCTCCGTCAACTTTTAAGAAAATTATAGTTGTTTAAAATTTGATCAAATTTGTTAACCCATTGATACCGGCAAACGCATAGGTACGCACGCTACCTTTCATGACGGCAAACGCATTTGATACGCATGGCTTTGTTTTGTTCTGTCACGGGACGAGCACGGGACCGATGGACTTGGTATGTTCCATAACGGGTACCTCATCCATTTATAAATACTATCAATCAAAGTCAAGCTTGAAAATATGAATTATTATTGTGTTAAAAGCTTTTTTGTAGACTACCCTATAAAATCAGAGGTCGTTAGCTCCTCTGAACAGCGAATTTTGCCGATTTTCGGGCCTTGGTTACGTGCGTTTCAATGCCGCCTACCCTATCATGTTTGGTACCGTCCAAAAGGTCATTCTTCCGCCCGTCATAAGAGTTCAAAATAGTCGTAGTAATATGACTCATCACTTTCCTATTCCCGCGGAAAGTATCGTGGGGTATGAGAGTAATGCGTGCTCTCATTGGCTCATTCTAAAACAATGACCGAAAATGTCTATAATTAGCACCGGAAACTGCCGAAGGCTGATGTAATTACTAAATATAATACCGAAAAAAGACCCGCGCATGCGCACAGCTTTACTTTTTGTCACATCCGTAAACAAGAATTCTCTTTCGCTTTCTCCCGGCTCGTCAAGTGCGTTACACGCTGATAGACTGTTTCACTGCGCTTGCGAGAATCTTTGCACAAAATGCCACGGAATCTTTTCAAGACGATATTTGAAAGGGAAACGATGTTGAGAATGGAGAGTTTAGCGACGGGATTGATGTGGAGGTGGACGGATCTGTTGAAGTCGCCCGTTGCGATTTGGAGGGATGCGTGCGGTTGTTCCGCTTTTATCAACCATGCAAGAAGACGGCGGCTAATACTAGATTTGGGGATTGTTTGACGACGCTGGGAACAAGTACGTCTTTTTTCAAGACCAGTGGACAACTATAAATCTTCACGAACGAACTGTTCATCAGTTCTGAGGTGTGTATCCCCAGTACCCCCCCCCTAGAATTACAGTTCTTTTCTCTAACTCTCTCATTGTTTCACTGTCTGCCCTCTCTCTGCCAGAAGACCATAATTGATTATTGGCCTACACTTGTATTCTTTTCTAAGAGTAAGCTGTAAATTCTGATTATATTTAGATCTATACTTTTTTGTAAATGATTTGAGAAAATTACTAGATCTAGATTAGATCTAGTTGTTCAAAACTTTTCAATGTCTTGAATGTCTATTACGGCTTGGCGTTTTTATCATTACCTAGCGGTATTAGGCTATCAGTAGGGGGTTTCCTCATTCAAAACAGCCTCGATGTATCAGTTACAGAAAAAAATAATAAACTATCAGCGTCTGTGATGTCACTGCACACTGATGATTCTTATTTGAATCTTACAAATGGAAAATGTTATTTTATCCTGGGTTCTAGGATTTCGTCAAGGACTTCGCCTCGGGCCTGATTGCAGACAGCACGGACAACAGACAGCCCTGCACCACATCAGACCCGGTCCACTCTTCCTCCAACTCCATGTATGATGGGCAGAACCCCTCTGGCAGCATGAGGAAAGTGTGCTAATTTTGTCGGCAGAAGAAGTTTGTCAGCAAAGAGCTGCAACCACTAATTTTAGCTATAGTGCAGTGTAACCCGCTCGTGTATGTAAAATAAACAGCCAAACTGGATGAAAACATAAACGTGACAGTTCAGTAAAAGCTCAACATGCTACAGAACAGTGTTTCATTCATTTCAAGACTACTCTGGAGGCCAGTGACACAAGAGAACTGTCCGAGAGGAAGCAGAAAAATTCAGACCTCATTCGGATCCGCACCAGAACTTTTTGAGGATTAGCCAAATTCATATCCAGTGTAGAATATGTGTGGCCAATGTGCTTTTTCTTTTCGTGTTTTAGAAAAAATATATTGTAATATATTGTGTGTATTCTTTCGTGGATTGTGTTTTCACTTTGGATTTATACTGTGTCATCTTGAATTTTGAACAAGCATCGATGGGTAAGTAGGACCTGCTGTTGTTATGATGTGTGACATAAATTAACATTTATTTATTGTTTTCTTTTAGTGATAATCCTAACACACAGTCATTCAATGTTTATACATTGTGGAAACAGATTACTTTGAGTATTTATGCAAGGAAAAAGAGGCAAATTCACAATCTCTTTTTTCTAGTCTGACTTTCAGACAGTCTGACACTCATAACGGGTGACCTTTTTCAAATTGACATAACTTCTGCAACAATGAATGGATATCTATACAATTTTTTTCAAAGTGAAGGGCTTTGAAAGCTCCACATTTTGTATGGAACAATGTGGTTGTTAGCAGATAAAAAAATGTTGTATTTGAGGGTTTTCAGTAGTACAATTTTGGCTATTTTTGAAAAAAAAAAATCCTTGATTCAAATTACTCAAATTTTTCTAATATTCATTCAAATTGCACAAAAACCACATGAACACATTCACAATTCAATTCCTTTTATAAAAATATAACTTTATGGGGGTTCAATCTTTAAATAACAGAGCTACAAGAGTTTTACTGAGGCTACCCCAGTTTGCTGGTCCATTTGCTGGAGCACAGGTAAAATGCCCAGTTCCTGGGGAGCAGCCCTCTGGCAAGGGCCTTAGTCAACAATGGGTTAAAGTCAGTCACTGGCTGCAACCCCATGTTTGACAGACAATAAAAAAAAGTACCAAGAGAGTAAACATCTCCACATTAACAGAGTACAATCACTATAACAAATATATGGAGCCTAATTTTTTCAAGACTGTGAGATCATTACAAATCAGTATTTTATCACCTCAAACACGATGATCTGTCGTTATTTTGACAAAAACACTGAGCGTTGACCCGGCAGGCGCCACACCAGCCCCCGCGGCGAGCGAATCGGCTCTATACTGTAGTGTATCACGGAAGCGGGGTTGCATGCTTTCCGAGTCTCGCGGAAGGATTGATGAAAAACAATTCCAAGTTGATTACTTTATTCTAATAGAAAATAAACTGATCTTTCAATTGATATTTTTTATAAGCCGGTATTTTACATATTTTGTGTAAAAAGTGATCTTTAAACATTTTGACGGTATTTTTAAAAGCTTTCTATTTAGACACCAAAGACTAAACATATATCACGGGAAAGCCCGTTTAAAGCTCTACAGTTCTCCGTCAATGAAAAGACGGTATTTAATCATCCCTCGTTCCGCGAAGCATTTGAATGCACGCGTGTCAATTTTTCAACCGGCCGACCACGCATTCCGAACGCGAGGGGGTTCGCTTTCGTCTGCAATTCTCCAGCTCCTAATAATCGGACATATAAACAACTTACACCATTGAACGAGGAAAAGCTGCACTTTTACAAGGTGTATGGCATTTGGTGTTTTATAGTGAAAGAGCAAAGAAACAGCGATCGGAATTACCCCGATTTCACCGATACCACCCGGTCAGAAGGCCGCGAGGCCGTGTTTACGCTACCTAGTACATGTACTACTGTTGGTTGATTATTATCGTTAGACTTCCCATTAAACAAACATAACAATTACCCACCAATCAAACAGATATGAAGTTATGAGTCCACAAACTTTTAAAATTGACACCCTCAAAATTTCCAGTTTGTGACTATACTCATCTTTCCCATGGACTCCTCAGATGTTTGATCAGAAAGAAGGAGCAAATCACACCTCAGCAATTCCAGGTTAAGAAGATTGCCCAGAACAGAGACTGGTGAGAGCCTTTTTTGGTAGCCTATACCCAGTACCAGGGGGTGAAAGAGAGAGAGAAATGGATGGAGAAGCATGTCCACACAATAAAGGTCATCAAGTGCAGGCAAATAGCAAGACAGACAGAGAGATAAAAAGCGGAAAATAACAAAGCATACAACATTAAATATTCTGGATGGAGAGCCAGAGGAAGACCAAGGCGACGATGGAGTGAATCTGTGGCAGACACCCTCAGAGCTCACGGGATGTCCCTCCTACAGGCCACTCGCCTTCCTGCAGACAGACGCCTGTGTCTCCCCGCGACACCAACCGGTACAAGCGGAAGAAAAAAGTAAAAGTAAAGTAAAATAACAAAGCAGTAGAACCTACCCCATGTCAACTCCAACCATCCTGGAGAGAGAGAGAGAGAGAGGGAGAGTGAGAGTGAGAGTGAGAGAGAGAGAGAGAGAGACAGACGGACAGAGACAGGTAAACTGAGAGAGAGAGAGAGAGAGAGAGAGAGAGAGAGAGAGAGAGAGAGAGAGAGAGAGAAGACAGAGAGAGACAAGAAAAGAAGACAGGCAGAGAGAGAGAGAGAAGACAGAGAGAGAGAGAGAAACGAGGGATGGAGAGAAAAGACTACTACTGGAACAGTACGGCACACAACTCACTTTGCTGAGGGCTCTCATCAGGGGCTCGTTGTCCTGCATGCGTCCAGCAGTGTCCACCAGCACCACATCAATGTGGTAGTCACGAGCTGGGGAGCGACACGTGCAAATACCACAATGAGAAAAAATCCAGGATTCTTTTTTGGTTTTAATAAGAGACAAGATTGCCCTATCAGACATGGTATTGGAAACCAACTGGAAAAAGAAAACAAAGGAAGACCAACTGGAAGCTATAGAGGCACAATAATATGGGATGAGGTATTCAATCACCCAGGGCCTGGATTTGCCGAAATTGGAAGATGTGGCCAGGGACAGACAAGTGTCGACTGCTCTCCGCCTTATGTACCTGACATTATAGGGAGAGAGTAAGTAAGTAAAAGTTTTAAGGCACTTGCAACACAATCACGTCATATAAATGCTGAAGATTAGAGGTGTTAGGAGAGAGTAACAAACAGCAGCTTACACTGTATGCTTCCAAAGAAGTTGAAATTGTTTCAGTATGCTTTTAGATCGGCTGGGGTAATAAATACAGATTGTAAAGCGCATGGAGCTAGCTGTTGAACAGGAATTTGCGCTATATAAATTCTATCTATTATTATCATTGTTATTATTACAACATTATCAAGAAGATGCTCACCTGATGAGATGGCCTCCATGGCGATGCCGGCCGAGTCCTTTCCGTAGCCACGCTCGTACAGCTGCACCATGTCGCGGCTGTTCCTCTTCTCGGGGTGCAGGGCGTTCAGTTTGCGGACGTGAGTGCGCAGCTGCTCCACGGCGCCGGAGCGGAAAGTGTCGCAGGCGGCGATGAGCACGCTCAGGCCATTCTCCACCAGCCAGAAGCACACCTGTTTTGTTATATTAAGCACAAGTTGGGGTTTGTTCAGGGTGTCCAGTAATATTTCCAGAAAAAATTTACTACCTGGAAAAGAAATTTACTACCCAGCAAATCAAGCCCCATACCAGCTCGAAAAAGGGAGTTCATTTGCGCCATCATTAACATTATATAATTATTACATAATATATGGAACGAAAACAACACACAACAAAGTCCAGTCGACAAAATGGAGGATAGACAGACGACCGCAAGCTTGCTTGCCACTAGATTTAGTTTTAGGAAGGTTTTTACGGCGCTCGCAACTGCATAGGTCATAATATGAGCGACAAGGGATGGATGTCAACATAGAAGTCCAAACAGGGAATCAAGCTTCGACTATCAATTAAGGCACCCCGTAAATAGTAGTTCACAAGAGTGACAAACATACAAAAGATGTAGAGGAAAATGACGATAGTAAAGAAGAGGACAGAAAAAGCAGCAGTTCCCCCTGTGTTTGTCCAGCAAAATATGAGCATGACATTGATAAATCAGCCCATTTACAATTCTACTGACTACTGTGCATAAGAACATGTAAATATCCTCTCTTTGGGAACGGCCTTAAGACACTTCAGTAAGTAGCACTGCCCCGGTGGTGGTGGGAGGGGGAGGGGGGTAGATTTAGACCTAATGTGTACACACAGGGTGACTGCCAAACCCGCTTCTCAATTTTCCAGGGGGTCATCCATTTTGCAGGGCCATGTTATACAACACACACACACACACACGCGTAAAATATATTCAGTCAACATCTCAGTGTCGCATTGGGGGTCTTGTTTGACTTAAGTATTTCAGTATTTTCCTCTCATTATTATATATTTTAAAAATGAATCCTGCTTTGAGCGTTCGGAGGGGTCTTGAACAAGAATTTCAACTGTCAAGAACCAGTCTGGGTGTCATGACACATAATATTATGAACATGAAAGACAAAAATTATTGCTCAAACTAAAAGTAGAGCAATAACTTGAATGGCTCAGGTAGACCTATTCAGTGTGAGAGGTGTAAGAACTGTGGGAGGGCAAGAGGCAGTGACACTGAAAATCTGCCAGTCTTGAACAGAAAGCTACAAAAGTGTTTTAATTAACTACAGGTATCACCCAACCAAAGAAACTCGAACATTTTATTTCAATAACACGGCTTACAAGGTGATCCAGATTCCACACAAGGCCTGCAACCAACGCGCGCTTTGCAGAGGGCTCTAAATGTAATCAAAATTCTGAAATTTGCTTACAAGTTTTTGTCCTCTGGTGTTGCCTTCAGCCCCTCCCCCGAGTGTATCTCTAAAAAAAATCAGTAATCCCTGCCCCATTCCTATGCTTCGCAACGCTCAGACTTTTTAATGAACTTTGGCGACCCCAACATATGCCCGTGCTCACGATGCCGTATCTTGGGGTGCCTCACACGAAGGTTCACTGACCGGCCACGATGGCGAACCTGATGATCTAAAAATCGGACAACGCTTGTATTTTCTTTTAACCCACACATACACACACACACATACACACACACACACACACCCCCACACACACACACACACACACACACACGTGTCAGTGTGGTGACGAGTCTGAGTAATGATTGAATTTGAATTTGCACTGAGACACAGCGTTTATACTGTACAACCTGCATGTCACAAATGTTGCGTTATCAGTCTATCGCCGGCAAATTTCCGGGTGGTAACGAAAGTGAAAGTAGATATCTTGATTTTCCCGATCGAGCCTCGGTGTCACATACACTTCGGCCAGTCGCCATAGCCGCCTTTTCGCGTTAAACGTACTCTCAGGGCGGGGAAAAGGTGAATGAATATTATATCACAATCGCGACCGACAAAAACGGAGTCATGAATCGTGGCTAGGGTTCACTGCAAAGTCTTGCTGTCTTCATCACTCAGTATGCAGGCAAATTTACGACCGTTTACCAAATGTTTACTACCTTCAAGGCAAATTTACCACCATCTACGACCTTTACGACCAGGGTGTCGAATTTACGACACTTAAGGTCATATACAGTGCCAAAGATTATAGACGTTACAAGAGAGTAACAAACACAAAAAAGAAGGAGAGATCAGGATGACCGTCACTTGATAGGAAAGAAGGTGCAAAAATAGAACTTTGTAACTCAAAGATAGCGAGTAGTTAACAACATTTCACTACCTCAGAATTACAAATGTTCTGACATTATTGGCTGTTTTGAGTATCTAAGACCATGAGGTCAGAAAACAATTGTTCTATCTAATCTATCAAAATCATCTGATTATTCGAAATCATTATCACGTTATTCAAAGAACTGCATGTTGAGAACATTAAAAATTTTAATGTTAAATTTCTCAAAACGAGGTACTGAGCAGAAAGAACTTTGTAATTCTGGGGTAGCGACTTGAAAGAGTTGAGAATGCGCCCACTCCAGTGCTGACCTTGGCTAAGTTGGTAGACTTCCCCACTCCGTTGACCCCACAGAAGGTGACGACGTAAGGGCGGCGCTGCTGTTTGGCGTCCATGGCGTCGCGGAGAATATCCACCCGGCGGCGAGGGGAGAGAATCTGCACACACGACTCCTGCAGGGTGTTCTTCACAGTCGAAGCGATACCTTCCGTGAGAATAATACAGGGAAGTATACAGTAGTCTCCGCCTGAGATCCCGGGGCTCGGGAGCAAGGAAAATGCGGGACCTTAAGCGAACCCGGATCTTAGCCGACGAACCCAGGGAAGAATCTATGGTGACCCATGTTAAGGCTCACAATCGGTAAAATGGTCTCCTTCCACTGTAAAATGAACTGATTTGACCCCTGGGTGGGTTTATGACATATGGCAAGCAAAGGCTGGTTAACCTTGATGACCTATGACAGTGCATAGTGGCATGAGGAGTGCCATTTTCACTTACTATCCAATCGTAAATCTCAAAATCTATTCTTATCCAGTTGCACCTCCCCTTTACCTGTCGAAAATTTATAGGTTTCCATCTCTAACCGAGTTCCCCCGTCTTTGTCGTTATGCACCATTACATTGTGACCACACCAATTAAAATTCAGCCTATCTCGCAAATTCTGTAACAGAGAAAACTGCTGCAATGGTCAAGGAAGAGTTCACGGTTCTATGTGATTCCGCCTGGAGCGATGTGATGCAAGTTTAGGTGGAAAGCTCAGATGCGAGTGCGATGTTTGGGGAAACAAACGTGTCGGTCAGTTCACACCTTGTGTTGATCTAGTCTAGAGCAAACATTGTCCTGCTTCATTGAGTTTAACAACGCTTATGTGATCACATTCACGAGAGGGGTTGATCTTTGACGCGACGGGCAGTTCATTGATCTCAACTTTTCCCTCTCGGTAGATCGGCTGTGCCCGCCCAGGGTTTTATTCCATAAATTATTATCAGAAATTCGGGATCTTAGCCAAATGTAGACCTTCAGAGTGAATCAGAGCGGGATCTTTGGGGTGACTTTTGTATAGTAAAACTTGTTTTCTTAAAACAGGGAGATCTTAAGCGAACCGGGAACGTAAGCGGTGGGTTTCTGCACTCCTGTAGACTAATATGTGTCGATATGTTTTTTAATATCAATCAAGCAAGAACAATGTCTACAGCAAAAGCAATCATTGGAAGATAACATTATCGTAAGCCTCATTGAAAACTCCCACACTTAAAAATACTTGCTTATGTGATAGTTTTCATCCAAAGAGTGTATGAAAGCAAATTCATCCACTTGTGTGCTGTGTTGAGATGAAGGTCTTGTAAAGCGGCTAGAGCTGTATTGTACGGAAGAAGACCCTATAAAAGTCATCTTCATTTTTATTATTTTAAAAAAAATTTATTGAAATATCTAGTGGGTCAGTGACAACTTTTTTATAAATGTAAACTGAAGAGGCGGAGAAAGTTGAAGAAGGAAGGGGGTTGTTAAAAGAACGACCTACTTCCAAAGGTGCCGAGAACTTTGCCTTCAAGTTTCGCTGAGACGGACTCGCACAGCTTGACAGCAATATCAGCCGCCACATTCTTCGCTGGAGAAACAAAAATATACAAGAATATGAAGAGCGGACATTTTTTAAAATAGTAAGGAGGAGGAAGAGGAGGAGGAGGAGGAGGAGGAGAAGAAAAAGAAGAAAAAAAAGAAGAAGAAAATACAGAAAGAAAAACCGAAATGACAAGATGACTTTCGAAAGCATTAAAAGATTTGATCATTTTTTGTATTTCCATGCAGAGTTCCAGTTCCTGGGGTCATGAAAGGCAAATGCCCTTTCACCCACTGTTTTAAGTTTCATTGGTGATAAAAATAATTTCTTTTTGTCAAACAAAGACCATAAACTTCCAGGTGGAAGGTACATTTTACACCAGTTTGATCAAATTGAACATATCGTCATGGTGCTGAACAACTAGCCTAAGTCATTTTTTTCCCTTTTAAGAAAACTTAAACATTTTAATTTCTTCAATAATGATGACATAAGCCATTTTGCAATTTCTCAAATTTAAAAAAAGTATCGACACTTTTAAAAATAAATTTTAATAGTATAAATTCATAAAAGGCATAAGTCAGAGCCATTGCGCAAGTCTGACATAGGCCAATTTTGTTCAGCACCATGACGATATCATTCAAGAACATGGGGCAAAGAGTGGCCAACTTGTACATAATTCTTTTCTCAACAGGGAGTCAGAGCAGTGTTCATCAAAGAGGGGCTAGCAGGTAGTTAGGAAGTTTTGAGGCAGATTTGTCACAAAAATTTCAAACACCACTTTGCTACCTTAGAATTACAAAGTGCTATCTGACATTTTTGGCCATTTTGAATTACCAAGACCATGAGGACAGAAATCAATTTTTCTATCTGCTCTATCAAAATCTTGAGATTATTTGGAGTCGTTATCAAGAAATTCAAAGAATTACATTCGAAAAAACTTGACATGATGTGAAACTCAAAAAAATTTTACGTCAAATTTCTCAAAACAAGATACTGGGCAGATAGAACCTTGTATTTCTGAGGTAACGATTGGTCTGCAGTTCTACCTATGAGGTGGTCCTTCATCTTTTCCAGGGCTGGCTGGAGATCCTCCTTGGACAGAGTCTTGGAGCCCACAAGGTTCCGGAACATGCTGAACATTCCACCGCCACGAGATTTCCTGCAGTTAAGAAATCAGAAGTATACCGAACCAATGATAATTTAATAATAATCATGATCATCATCATAATAAACACTGGGATTTTTAAATTCATTAATTAGAATTATTTTCATAAGAAAATAATGCTTTGTGGGAAAAACCAGCTCATTTGAACAGTGTGAAAAGATGTTTGCATGAAAGATGAAGGACTTGTTCCTTGATAACCTTCTCTAGTTCTTGGTGCCCAACTGGGTCAATCTGTTCAAATTTCATTGGATGAACATCTAGAGTTACTAACGCTACTTGTTTCGAAACGAGTAGAGCTACCAAAGCTACGCATTTTGAAACAAAGCAGAAAGTTCTAGACGCAAAAGCCTTCACAAACACAAGCGCAGACTGGCCCCATTTTGTGAGGCACAACGACCCCAAGCGCCACCTATAGGCGAGCGAAATGCAACACTCATCCTCTCGGCCTTCTGGCCAGTTTTGTTCAGCAATGGGCGTTCTAGAGGAAAAACCAAACCACTGTCTTTCTTCAGATTCTCATAGGACAAAAAAAGGTAAGACAATGTGAAATTGATGTTCTAATCTAGAGTCTAGATTAGAGCTAAACTAGAGAGATCTGAGTCCTGCCTTTAAGCTTTGTTTACTCTCTGCATCACGCATCCATGACTCTGACCAAACCTTTGTGCTCTGTACTTTGTTGTGTGTGGGCCCTTTCCATAAGGGGTAGATCTAGATTCTAGATGTAAATGTTATATAGATCTATATGTTTTCTGAGGCGTATGTAATTATGTAATTTGTTCTTTAGCACAACATAGAGAGATCAGTATTTTGCATCCAATTTGTAACTTGTTATGACGTATATGGGCCATTTGCCTCGAAAGTCAATAAAGTCAAACTCAATTCATTTCTCTCTCACCACACATACTCATTCACACATGTACGCAAGCACGCACGCACACATTTTATTAAATCAAGTAACATTCACAAAACTAAAAGCAATCAATACGTGTACCATATGTCCTGACCACCTGTGTACATTTTATCATCATCACGGCTACCATCACATCATCATCATTATCAAATCATCTTCATGAAAATCACAACAACCACCACTACAACCATCCAGTGGCGGTTGGTGGACCAAAATTTGGGTGGGGCTAGATTGCTTCCACTTCTTTACTACCAAAAAGCAAGCAATAACAGCCCAACAGTGATGATTTTTCTATACTCACGGTGAGCCAAGGCATTTTGAGAACCATTCAAAGGAGGGGAATCAACTTTGTCTTCCATCCCTTTATTTTAAGTTGAATTCTTGTGGATGGCGGGGACGTAGCCGTTTTACCCCCAAAAAATTTCTAACTACATATAATTTTCATTTAATGAAAAAGTTGCCTTAAAAGTTGTTTGACCTGATATGTAACACTTAAATCTCACACTCAGCACCTGAAGCATATTATTATTCCATCTATGAGCTGGATTCGGCCGAGAAGTCGAGGGAAATTGAAAGCACCGAACAAAGGTTCAATGAGCGCATGTGATTGTGTCACTGGGAAAAGAGTGTCGTAAACATTCCCCCCATTGTCAAGGCTAGGCGAGCGTAGTGAGAGCGACTGACAAAAGAAAAATTGGTTAGTTTGTTATATCGAGTTAAAAAGACATACTTCTATGTTGTATTTGTTGTATTCTCTCTTTCTCTCTCTCATCTATCTCCATGGGTGAATGTTTGTCATTATAACTGTAGTAGCCTACTCTCCTAGATTTCGTGATAGTCAATGTCAAGGCCTAGATCTGGATTTAGTAGATCGTGAACCTATGCACCCGGTACCGGTACACTATCCTTTGATCTTATCAGTCATTACCGAAGTGAGACTATTTTTAAACCTAATGTTTTTCCTTTAAAATAGTTTAGACCTTGATAGATTATCGGAATACATTGATCATTACTTTAGCTTGGTAGACAGATCTACATAATTATTTAGATCTAGATTACAAAGGGCCCTAGAGTAGGATTCAGTAGGACACTCTCATACTCTATCCAACAAGCAGTGCTCCCACCAGCCGAAGCTGTAAAGTAAGGAAAATTGTGCAGGGGGTCTGGGGGCCGCACAGGCCCCTAGCACGGTCCAGGGACAGAGCCCCGGTGGGGGTTCAAGGGGCGAAGCCCCAGAAGAAATTTTAATTTAGTGCTTTTAGAGGGTTGAAAATGGCATTTGGAAGCCTGTTTGAAGAGATTGCCTGCAAGCCACAACATTTATTTTTCCACCAACAATTTGTCTTGTTTGATTTCTTCACCAAGATCTACATAATATATTTCCATTGATGGCAATGTTTAAAAGCAGGTTCCCGTTCCATTGCTACTATAATTCAATTAATTTGTCACCGCACCATTGATAAAAGGCAAAACTGGGAAAAATGAATAGATATGTACTTTCACAATACAGTTACCCAGTGTATACTCTAATTTTCCATAAATTTCACGCCTGAATGTCGCATGTCACAACCTCAGAACACCACTTCAAATTATTCTTGACTTTAGTAGTTGTAGGCTGGTTTTAGCATAAATTTCTTCCATCGCTGCCCTTATCACATTCCCGTGCCGTAGAATCTTCGTATTGATCATTTCTCTAGATCTAGATCTAGACAAATTTGTAAAAAAGTTTCTTTCTGACATTTACTGTCTAAGATCACAAGTCAATTTACTTGATCAACGTGCAGATTTTCCTGCCACGGCAACAATCCGAAGATAGACAGACAGAATGAGTGAATGATAGAAAGGAGGAAACTGGCACAAAAAGTTCGCCAGATTTTGATCAATCCACAGGTAAAAATGTACTTTCGACAAGCCCGCAATGAAAGCCTGGGGCATAGCATAATACTAATAATGGCCGATTGCAGGAAATGCGCAATCTGACAAGTTTCTATAACATAAACTTATTGCCGAGAGAATTACCGTAAATATCCGTAACTTATACTAGTTCTAGATGATACGAAGGCGAGTACAGATCTTTTGCAACGGAATTTCGGTAGTCCTACGCTGTCGCAGCTTTTTACAGAGGGAGTTGATAATGATGGAGGAACAAGTACAGAACTGGCAGAAAGTACGGATTTCCATAAAAATACGTAAGAGTGGAAGCACTGAACAAGCCCAAGGCCAAGCCATCGGGGCTCAGTCACACGCTCGCTGGGGGTGTGGCCTTTTTTACGCTGGCACATTTTCTTTAGAGAGGGAAAGAGGCAGCTGCAGCATCTTATGGTAGGGTATACTATCTTTGCCCACACACACTTCGGCTGTGGAAACACGGGCCTACTGTACACTCAGCGCATGTAAGCTACACTTAATCATGACCCACGGGGAAGCGAGGACGCCGGAACTTGCAAATCGGTGTATATCGATGCAGGACAAAAAGAAAAGGGCTCAATCTTCCTAATCTCAATCAGTAGCAGTTCACAACATGAATGAATTGAACGGTTCTCCAGAACAGAGGCTTCTCTTTCATCCTACTTCTTTTACATGGCTCAGCCGCATTTAGCATGGGAGGGAAATGTGCTGGCTACACTATCATAAAACTTTGATGTTAATTGACTAACTGACTGTAAGTCTTTTTTTTTTTTTGTTTCAGTAAAAATTTTACAGCACTTGCGATGATTTAGTAAGAGTTTTACAAAAGACAACAGATGTTTGATAGGAAAGAAGGAGCAAACCATACCAGAGCACCCACCAACCACCCACTCAGCACTTGCAAAACAACAAGTTCATTTAAGCGCTGAAGAATGGATGTGTTGCAAGAGAGTAACACATGCAAAAAAGGAGGAGAGATAAGGACAATAGATGTTTAACAGGAAAGAAGACACAAACCCCACCAGAGCACCTGCCGAGACCCCTGATTTACACAGTATCAATATACACAAATGCTTCCAATATTGGGGGGTTCTCTTGAAATTTTTGTCATATTATCAACTGCTTTTCAAATGACAGGCAACATTTACATGAGAATAATGCCACAACTTACCCTGCTGTTTTAGTCTTCTGATGAACTTCCTCTTCCTCTTCTTCCTCCTCGAAATCATCATCGTCATCGTCATCGTCCTCAGGCTCGATGTCTTGAAGTTGGCCTGACATCTTTCCAACCAGAGCTTGCTGCGTGGTGAAAATATCCAAAGTTAACAGTTTTATTGGTTTATTTACTTTACAAAATGTTTTACAGCACTTGCAACACAATAAGGTCATATAAGTGGGGAAGATTAGAAGCGTTACAAGAGAGTGATAAACACAAAAAAAGGAGATATAAGGGCAACAGAAGTTTGAAAGGAAAGAAGGAGATCCGCCAACCAAACACTAACATTGTTGTTGAGTCAGGCTTCACGCAATAATAGTGACATTTCACCAACCTTAATTCAAAACTATCCGAGATCTTAACTATTTTAAAATAAAAGCATTCAGTCAAATCTACCGGTAACACCCTCCAGCCGTTAATACTAGTCAAACAAAAGTAAACTTCCCGAGAGACAAGTCGTGGCCTCAGAACTATTTTGTCCAAAGTGTACTTAAATAAAGAGTGACTTTGGACAAAATGGTTCTGAAGCGACGAAGTAAACACATTTTTAATTCCAAAATAACCTTGATTTTGACAAAATAAAACGAATCAGTTCTAGAATCATTTCGGACCAGTTTCCAGACAATCGCACCTCAGCCTTCGTTGGAACTGCTGCGTCGTCCTCCTTCGTCTCGCTACGATCCAACTCGGCAATGTCCTTGTTGGAGACACTGTCATTCCACTTGGTCGCTTGCTTACCCTTACGCTTTGGAGCCTCCGGGCTTTTGCTGAAAGAAGGGCAATGGAAGCACATAAATAAAATAAATTAAAAATTTCAGTAACATACATATGACTATAGATAGCCTTTCACTACTTGTTTGCATGCATTACTTTTTCCTATACAATTGGATAACTAACTCTATCTCTCTCCATCCTTCCCTCTTTCTATATTCATCCAACTATTTGTACATAATTATTTAACTTATCCCTTCGTCTAAAATGACTGTTGGGGAACCAAGGGTGATGGAGCAACCACTTTTCTCCATCCTTCTCTATCCCAGACTGAACATTCTTGAACTCCAGTCTTTTCAGGAGTTTTCCAAGGCTCTAAATCCATTTGACTCTGTTTTATCAGAGACAGACATTAAATTCAAAGGCTTCACCGCTCAAATAAACTAATAGTATTGATAGGGGCGTTAAACCTATACACTTGCTTTTACTTAAATTACTATTATTATCATTATTATCTTTTGAAAAGTACAGTATAAGCAAAAAGACTGCATGTTGTTACCAGGCAAACAAACGCTTTGCAAAATCCCAAGTTCATGTTTTTAAGAATATTATACTTTTGATAATAACTTTCGTATTTACTTCAAAGTAAATCTTCTTGTCTTGGTAACAACATTCAGTTTTCTTGGATCTCCTGTAAAATTGTGAAAATTGCATATACTGTACATTTAAAAATGGCGCCAGACAAACCTTGCTCGCACAATCAACCCTTTCACTTAATTACCAGAGGCTCTTGCGGTCCGGCAGGTTCAAAACCAGACAGCGAGGAAAAATTTCCTTCTTTATAATTTTCTCTTTGAAACCCCCTTTCCTGCTCTCTAACCATGTTCTGTCGTCTGCTTTCGTCTCCACTTTCTGTCCCATCCCACCTCCACCAAAATTTTTGCCCCCTCATCCAGGCTCCTGACTCTTTCTGCAGCCTTTCTACTGCTATTCCTTGGCTCCTTCTTACTACTGTCTTTCAGCCACACCCCTGATGTGAAGCCCCGGTTACACGCAATGATAAATTGTATCAGATTCGTTGTTGATGAGAACTATCTGTTTTATCAAACTGTGTTGTCTGTTCACACGTTCCAATCTATCGTCCAGTTTTCTTTCGATCGAGGAGATTCCTTGTCATAAAGCCACCATGTCTCTTTGCGACAACAGCGATTTGCCTGCACTCTATGTGAAGGTTTCGAGCTCTGGACCAAGTGAATGAAAGGCGAACACTGTACCTCTAGATCATGAGAGCCCCCCCCCCCCCCCCTCAACATTTTGATATAGCAGAACAGTGTCTTTAGAAAAGGGTGGCCATACTGTAGGCCTACCGTGTTGTGTGTAGAAGTAGAAGCTTTGACTTTGACTTGACAGCAGATGTGCAAGGCACCGAGTGACCTTAATTAGACCTGCATGTGAGCCTCAACCAGCTTGTCTGAAAATTTTGCGCAACCATAAGAGCTTTTGTGGGTGTCATAAGGAAGGACTTCCGAGTAACGAGCGACCACCCCAACAAACACAATAAAGAAGAGACCTAACCCTAACCCTACCCCTAGGCCTACCCCAAAAAAGAACCTGCAACGGGCCTCATGTAAAAAGGCCAGCACAAGTCCAAAATGAAAAAATGAAAATTTTTTTTTAAACCACACTCCAAAACAAACAAGGAGCATCGTATGGCCTAGATTCTACATCTACATTTCTATAATAGGGTTTGATACAATAACACAATAGAATTGGAATATGAATCCTCCATAAAGATCTAGTAATCTAAATAAATCTAGATAAAGATCTAGATCTTGTAAAACAAGTGAATAGGAATAGGCCTTGAACTAGTAATCCGTATCTGATTCCGAACAGAGGGACTCAGCTGAGTCTAGATTCTAAATAAATAAATAATTCACCCACCTGATGAAATGCTTTTTCGGAGTGCTTATTGGCCCACATGGGCATATAAAATTTCCCATAGAACATTTATTATTTGCCCTCAAAATTGCGAGTTATCTCCCCTGTGTTTGGCGGCGCCCCCCCCCCCCCCCCACCCCCTCAAATCCACAAATGATAATTTAAAATGAAAATACAACAGCAAAATCCACAATAAATATCAGAGAAATTATTTTATATTATAATTATACACTTCTCTAAGGCTTAAGTTAATATTATATTTTACACCTGAAAGTAAGTCAATTTCTACTATAATATTAGGGAAGTACAGATCTAGATCTTGAATGACTCCTAAACCAACAAGATCCCAAAAGATAACAAAAACTCATTTGTGTTATTAAGGATACAGAATGCTAAAAGTAATAGCCGTATTTATTATTTCTTATTTTTAAATCTTAATAATCAAAAACTACTACAGCTAGAGAAAGAACGAAAAGTCCTCTCATCTTCAAAAATAGCTCAACAAATAAGTCCATCAATCACATATTTTAAATTGAGAATGTATAGCTTTACAATCTAATGCTAAAAAAAAAAAGATGAACAATAGCTAAGAAGTTAGAGAACAAGTTGGGACAATACCATGTATGAAATACTTTGAAAAACAATGCATTAAACGGCCCATGTGGGCCAATAAGCTCCAGCTTATTTGCCCATGTGGGCCAATAAGAGCAGCCATGCTTTTTACCAACATTAATATTACAGCACAACCTATGATAGGGTGTGACACAATAGAATTGGAACATGAATCCTCCATTGAGGTCTATAATGATCTATATAAATCTAGATCCAGATCTAGATTCTATTAGAAAAGTGAGTCGGACTTGAATGAATCCACACGATCTGAACAATTGAATTAGATCCACACGATCTGAACAATTGAATTAGTCAACAAACGAAATTCAAAATGGCCGCTCGTGCACGAAACTGAAAGTAGATAATTTAGGTCGCCGTCCTTTTTCGTATTCGCATTTCTACTCAGGTTCCGACAATTATGTCGGAAACGTCGACGTCGGCAGTCGGCACGAAAAAGAAAGTGCCGACAAAGCCGACGGGAGAAAAAGGGGGCGCTGGCAGTCGGCCAGGCCTCGCACTACGCACATTGACCGATACAGGTGGGACTAGCGATAGCATCTGCCGGCTCGCTGGTCGGGTCGCAAATGTCGGATTTCAGACGATTGTCGGCAAACATGCAGGTCTACTTAATGCACAGCGTCACCCTTGACTAAATAATAAAATTGCTAAGGATAGGTAAGATCTAACACCTAGCCTTCTCCGCTAAGTTACGCACATAAAAGATCCCTAGGTGGTCCCAAATTGATAAAAGTAGGCTTCGGCTGCCACCCACGAAAATTCAAAATTAATTCCTACCCAACTGAAAATTTTTAATGTGTACAGCCCTCTTATGACTGTATGCATTAAACAGCGCCATAGAACACTTACCAAAACAAAATAAAAAACTGAATTACCTGGCAGCTGGCGTTTTCTTCTTGCCTCTCATCATGAGCTTCTGCAGGTTCCTCTGCCTTGTCTCCTCATCCAGCACACCATTCTCTGACGGCACCTCCGGGGTGTTGGAAGCCGATGACTGCGACGAATTGGACGATGGATTTGACGCTACCGACTTAGGAGAGTCGTTGCTGACTCCTGTGACACACGACAAATTGAACTCACTTACAATGAATGAATAAATAAATAAATAAATTACACTTCAACAATCTTCAAAGGGCCGTGTGGCAAACATGCATACACACATAATCACATAATTACATATCAAAACCCACAAATAAACAGACAATATTACACCGATGCAAAACAAATTTATACAAATGCATTACTAGTTGCTACTGTGCAGCATCTGGGGGGGGTGTTTTGTTTTGTTTTTTGATAGCGTATCACGTTTTGCTCAAAGATACCCCCCCCCCCCCCCTCTCTCTTTTCGCCCCATGACTACCTATCCTATCCAACCACCATGTCAAAACACTTGCTTGACATTATCACTAGCGTGTCTGAACTGATTAACAAGTCTGCCACCAGAGCCCCTCAATAGTTTGGAACCAGGGTCAAGGCAAAAGCAGCCACCATCGCCACAGACAGACAAAGACGATAATATAGCAATCATGGAATGGAGCAGAGATGGAAGACCATGCTACAGACCCACCAAGATAGAATGGGGGATACTTCTTCTCTTTTTCACACATATAAAGTCCCTTTTTAGGACAAGCTGGCTAACCAAGATTTTTCAGGAGTTTCCAGAAATCTTGACCTACACAAAAAGTGGGCATTGCCCTACCGCTATGAGAAGTTTGGTTTCATTGGAGTGCATATGTTTGGTTATAGAGAAAACTCACCTTGTCTTTTAAAGAAACTGAACAAGGGTCCAAAAACTTAAGCTTTGATTTTCTCAAAACAGCATTTTTCTGGATACCCCCCTTGTGTTTAAAAGCAACCTTATACAGAGATGCGGCACCAAATACTGAAAAGTACAGACTTGCGGTACAAGTCTTCGTTGTGAAAAAAAAACAAGTAATTTCTTTTGGTCTTAATTTAAAGTACAAATTCTACGAGATATTAGATTAACTCTTTTTTTTTTTTCTTTCGACAGTGAAATTACATATGCCAAGAATAATATAACATATATAAGTCGGACGCAGCCAAAGACTTCCAAAATGACAGTTCATCGGGTATAGACCATTGTGGTCTAGAAAATCAGAAAGCTCAAATAAAACAAGACAACATTCTTTTAAAATGATCTTATCTTCAACATCTTACGACTCAAATTTCCATTCCACTTTCACCAATCTCCATGTCTTTATTTCATTTATTGCTATATCTGACCAATAGAGCATAAGGAGCTAATCAACAGAAGAATGCCCCTTTCAACCCCACGGCTCTAGAGAATTCACACTTTGACTTCCTTGCCAGGATTATTCATTCTACTTGATTATCTTGCTCAGTCTACGGACGTAGTGTGGCAGCCAGCTAGGCATTTAAACGTAGTTGTTCCCATATCTCAGTCCCTGTCCGCTGTGAGGCACCCATCTGAGGGCAGGTGTACTGACTCAAATCGTATACAGTAACCATCCCCAAGTACACTATGTCATACCTGTCCAGACCAGAGTGCAAACTCACTGTCTTGAATCAAGTGTGAGTCAGAAGTATCAAAAAGACATATTATGGGCCAGCTGTTCAATGTATAAAACTCAAATGTTTGAAACATTTTTTTATTCCAGGTTCTTAATCTGTAGTATCAGTGCATGTGTCAAAAAATATGTCATTTAAATACTAAACATTGAAAAAAAAGAAAGAAAAAAAGACATAATACTGACACACAGACAATTGTGTCACAACACTGTGGAATCAGGTGCTCATCAATTTTTGGTCATGTGGAGTTATTGGTATCACCTAAAAGCTTGTTCATTTGCCTTGCTTTCAATGAAAGAATTACCCATTTATATTAAGTACATGACACTGAATGAGGTGAGGGTACCTGGTCTCAGAGGTAAAATTGGTGAGAAAATGGCCACCAAAGTTTGGTTATTCAGGAAGCCTCAGAGTCCGTTGAAACTGACAACTTACATTTTTATGCCTTTAATCAACTTTTTTCAATATAATTCACACTGAAATGGGTTCTTAAATGGACATAGACACTGTTGTCTAAAAAACACAATTTCTTTACTTTCATTATTTTGACGAGCGACTGAATTCACCACACTGCCTCACAATTGTTAAAAGAATGTAGTTTTTTTCTCTCTCCAGAAAAAAAAGTTACTTTCTGGGCTTAGTCAATTTGAACTAATTGCTGAGGATATACTGACAATTTGTCAGTGAGGCTTACCTTTAGGAACCTTGTTCTCCTTCCCTTTCAGTGGCTTCTTTTCCTCTTTCTTGTTTTCAATCATGGAAGACACGGTTTTCTTAGACTTCTGAGAGTCCTCAAATGTTCTCATTTTTCTTCAGTTCAGGATCATCAATGACACAAGGGGGGAAAAAAACACCAAAAAACTTAGATTGTGGAAGACTATTTCAAAGTTGTTTTCCTTAATAGACGAAATATTTTGGTCCAGTGAAGGGAAGGCAATGAAGAAAAAAAAGACTAGACGTTATTAAGAAGACCAGTCTTTGAGACAAAGGTAAATCTAACCTACTTTTTTGGCACATCCTTTAAGGAATAGATTAAGGGGAATTCAGCTCATATTCTCTTACTCAAATCCAATACTTAAAACATGTGTTCTGTATGATAATTCACTCCGTTGCTTTCTCCGATAAATCAGCTGATACCACCAAATGACCTGATTTCACTCTCACTTTGACCAAGAAAGTACAACTATGCCTTTCAAACTTTTATTCACATCTTCTTTTATTTTACACAGCACCTAAGATATGTAAAACTACGATAATTAACAATACAGCCTTACATAAATAGACTCAGCAACCTACTACACCATGGCATTGAGCCAAAAGGAAGGAAGTCAGCAACAACTGGATTGCTCATAGCATCATATCAGAAACACCCCGCCCCTAAAAATTAATTAGCCCGATGCCATAAGGGATGAACAACTATGGGAGTAACAAACCTAAAGGAAGTGAGAAACAACTGGATAGAAAGAGGTGGAGACAAAAGCCCAGTAAAGAAGTGCATAAAGAGTTTTTGTCTGAGGCCTTTACTCCATCGTCCCCTTACTCCAGCATCGGGTAAGAAAGGCTATGGTGATGATGATCCCTCTCCTCCCCAAATGCAGACACACTTGAGCTTACCTCCCTGCCTTCTGTTCCTGCCTACTCTCCTCCTCCTTCTCCCTCAGCAGCTGGTGGAAGCAGTCGGTAAACTCGCTGAAGTTGAGGCTCACCCCGGACTGGTTCAAGTTAAGCAAGGCCAACTTGTAGCGCTCTCGGAACTCCAGCTGGATGTCGGTCAACAGCTTGTCCACGTACGACAGCTGCAGGATGTTTTGGTACGCAACCTGGGATGACATGCATGATGACAACAAAAGCAAATGTTAACAAACTCTTTTTTTTTTCTTTTTTTTAATCCTTTTTTCTAAAATAAATCCATACATTTTTTTGACATTTATTTATGGCAGACAACATGTTAGAAATGGTGGGTATTTTGAAGAAAATTCCCATAGAGGATTGAAGAAGACACTGAACTAAAATATTGTACACAAATATATTGCTACATAATTTTAACATTCATTATGAATAGCATCAAGTGGAAAATTGGTCATTAGCGTGATCCCAACGTTACCCTTAGCTGAAAGACTACACCTTTCACATTTCATTTTTAAAATATTAAGACTAACATTGTGATTTCCATACATACTTTCTTCCCCAAATTTTAACATCAAGCTAATACCATGTGCCTACTGGCAAAATTGTTTCAGTTCCGCTCAGTTCCGTTCGGTTGTCTGGGCTAGCCAGCATTTTCTCAGAACAGGGAGAAAAACTATCTTCGTGGCACAAACCGAAAGAAATTCTTACCAAATTCCTCCATTAGAGTCCAAAGTTCCTCTTGTCAGAAGGACAATTCCTAAAATCACATTCCCTATACAAAATAACAATATAACACAGCACAAGAAAAAAACTCACCACAAATATCAACTCAAACTCATTGTCCAGTTTATACTTCAGAGTCAGCGACTCGTGAGAGAATGAGTTGTTCCCTGTACGTTCCTGAGAACAAAAAATAAACATTCTTTGATATTGTAAACCACAAACGTTGGCACAGAAAGAAAAAAAAAACCTCAACAAAGCAAACTCGATCTCGCAGGTCAGTGCAATTTTAAGTAACCCAAAAAAACAAATTGCTATTATAGAGGTATAATAATAATCGTCCGACGTGATGAAAAGAGACAAATCCCCCCAAATAGACACATCATCAGCATCAACAAGGCACTGATCTTGCCTGAATCTACCTTTCAACCCACCTTTCATCTCAAGAAACAAAGTTTCAAAGAGGCATCACAAAAGCTTGTATAAAATTAATTTTATTTTTTCCAGTTTTGTCTACACCAGCAACCAGATATGAAAAATAATATATCAAACAAAAACTGTAAACTAAAAGATTATAATACTTATTGAAGTTTTAATTTAAATGGCAGCCAATAGTTCACTGATAAGATCAGGTTCAATCTTTTTCTTATATTTGTCTTTGCCATCTAACTCCATAATTTACAACCAGATTTAGATCAAAATCCTCATTATTGTTCAATTCCTCCTTCTAACCAGGCATTAGCTCTTAGTTTATTGCTTATTTCATACCCCTTTCATTGCCATGATAACCATCCAGAGCACCATCCTGGAGATCTACAATAGCTACATTCAGTCTCAGTTCAAGTATGAAAAAAACATTAGATTCAAATAACCATTAAACTTTCTGTTTATCGCACTTTCAAAGTCAAAGAAAAGCTACAAAATTGGCAGAAACCGGAAGCACGTAAGTTGAACAAGATTTTCGTTCTTTTTATAATATTATAATCAAATTACAAGAAAACCCAGACCAAGGCCATTGCTGGTCCTAAACTAAGTACAAACTGATGGTCAAGTTAGCTTCTTAATAAATTTGTATTTCTGTGCTAAAAAAGAGCCTAAACCTGACTTTTCTTTATTCCACATTGACATCACTCATAGTGTGTAGAGCATCATTACAGCTTTTAAAAAGTTCTTTCTTTTGAACTGAAATCATTTGTTTCACTTTCCTATTTGTAAAAAAAAGTACAGGATATTGCATGGAAATTATGGAATCACACACAGGGGGCCTGCCAGTGTCAGTACATGTAATTGGTTTTGGTGGAACGCTCTAACATAGCACATTTAAATCTATACAGGTATATATATTTAGAATCTAATGAAGGTAGGAACATCAAATTAAATGACGTTACACAATACCTTTTGTAGAAACATCAAATTAAATGACGTTACACTATAC